CGAATTTTACACGGGGCACGTTTCGTTCCCGATCGCTAGCTTCGTCACTCACCACGCTAAAACTTTCCGGCCAGGGAAGCAACTAATTACGTAAATCATCACGACTTGGCGCTAATATTTACACAGGCCGATTTGTAAACTGCATAAACACCATCTGTCCCGATGCAATCGGCTACAGTCTACCCCAGTTTTATAATTACAATTTACAGTTTAATTTATGGAACAACATTCGTTACGTCATGTTAAGATACAATACTACACAGGTGCGACTTTCTTTTTCGTCCGGATCGTCGATACGACAATCTTTCCCTCCGACCGGGTGGCTTCCGCCCCCTTCGCACGCGCGTAATAACAAAGGTGGTTGTTGGGTCAGGTGTTTTCCACGTGTGAAAACCTATCGACCTGGGTTCAATCTCGAACCGATCAGGTTACACCTACGTGTGGGCGCGAGATTCGGGATGTCTGTTGTTCGGGTCAGTCAGACGAGCAGGACGTGACCGGTGTCCAGTCCGACCGTTATAACCGTTTCTTTGTTATATATTAAACGGCGATCTACGATTAGAGATCTATACACCTTTAAGAACTTAACAGTGGTGAACTCCGGGCGGACGATGACGTCGCCGTTACGTCTTAGAAAACGACGTAAACTTTACATTTAACTAACATAACTGTATTTGCAAAGTAATAATTCGACGGTAACCGAAAAGGAGACAAAAATGTCCGTATTTTGTTAACGAGAATAAAAATTGTTGCCTACGTTTGCTTCGTTTGTTATATAATTATGTACTGTACGTTTGGTAGATAATTGTATAACGATATAATTACGTGCAAAATAACTATATAAGAGCGACGCATGGGTTGCACTGCACACAACCCGTCGCTCACGTCCGGATAAGTACTGCTGGAGAGTTAAACTCGTTTAAATGTCATTTCGGTTCTTATTTATCCCTTTTTAACCCGTATACGGGGCAGCGATTCTCAAAGTACGGGTGGCAAAATGATACCTTCCACGGGAATACTCGTAATACTTGTATCGCCGAAATATTAGAGGTTGCGGCCGAAGTTCAAACATTAAACTTGTACGGCAAGCGGAAGTACACGTTTGACGTTTGAACTTCGAGCGAAACACGTTGCGCGTCGCTCACTGGCTCGTGGGATGTTGTTCAAAAATGGCGGAAACATTTAATAACGACGAAAGTTACCAGCGAAGGTAAACAAACAAATTAAACTGTTTTAAAGTATTTATAAGATGTTTAATAGCACTAAATAATTAGGCCTATTTTTGACTTTGGCGAAGTTGCGGCCGAAGTTTTCAACGCGAAAACGTGTACGTCGGACGTTCAGCGCCGCCATCCTATAATCTTAGAAGTTTGATAATGGCGTTTGGAACGTCGAGCGTGATTCTACTGACGTTCCAACGATATTACTTCCTAGGCTGTTACATATATAACACAGGAAAAATATGGCCATCGTTCAAAATATGACCCTTCAAGATGTTTACATTTTTGGACAGAGGACACCTTGAAACGCCGAGAAATGCAAAAACTTCGGAGGTTTTTTCCGTATGTACAGTATTGTATGTGTTTTTATGTGTGGGGGAGCACGGTTTTGTTCACCCTGTTTAAAGCTTAATAACTCCTGTGCTATTTGTCGAAATTTTCTGAAATTCTGCAGGGAAGTTCGTTTATTAGGGGATCGATGATATCAAATTTTTGTGATTAAAGATCGAAGAGTGGCGAGATAATGGGAGTCGCGTGTCGTATCTCCAGTAGGGTCGGACTTAAGGGTAATTTTACTCGTTACTAGCATTTACAATTTGATTTGTTTTTTTTTAAACCCATTCCTACCGTCAAAATTAAGCTTCTTGTAATTTTATAATAATTAAAAATATAAAACGTTTTTAAATAAAATATCATAACGGATGGTACCACACACGTAGTTTTAAATGTTACCGGGAAAGATAAGCAACTCGTTGCTGGATATTTTATAACTAGAAATTCCTCCGTCCAGCGTGACAGACTACTTTCTATGAGAAAGTACAGATTTCAAGAAATTCAAGGAGAGTAGCTAATATTTCTACAAATTAATTAGCCTATACCAGGGGTGGCACGCGTGTCCAAAGTGGCACGTCCGAGAAAGCTTCTGACATGTAACGATTTCGGTTTATTACCCTATCATCCTTTTTGTTCAATCAGCTTCTTTAAATTTACTGTAATTAAATCATATTCTTTGCCATCGAGTATAAACGAACATAATCGATATTTCACCTGGATTTAAGAAAAATAATAGTAGCTATAGGACATTCACAAATACAGACGATGGCTTTTACATTGTTCGTGGGATAATTGACAATTTGAAAAAAAACTGTAGACCTATAAATTCCCACTGTCGTTCGTCTGTTTATCTTTCCTTAATCTCGAGAATGGAGTCAGATGGATGAAATCTGACACTACATATGGACAGCTTAGGAACAGGAGGCCCCGATTAACTGTATACTAACGTCCCGTTCGAGCCAGAAGTCACGTTATTTCAATTATAAAATTTTCTCCCGTAAGAAATTAGATGACGACACGATTATGTTGCTAACACGAAAAGTATTATATACAGGGACGAGACACTACTAATTTGAAATGGAGAGCATATATTTTTAATTAATTTAAATGATTTTTATCAATAGTGGCTTAAAATACAGAAAATACGGAAGACGTACGATCCTTTTACTTCTTTAGAGGATTTTTACCACACAAAAGAATCAATATGGATAGTCAAAAGTGGCAAAAAATTACGAAATCATTCTAGAACTTTGTGACACTAATGGAAAAAAATTGTTACCTCAGAACCCTGTATCCATACCACGTTACTATCAAGCATTATGAAAGAGAATGTAAACTTTAATTTAATATTTAAATTACCTTCAAAGAGTTATTACCGACTTTGCGTACGATCCTATAACCTTTTGGCAAACAATTCCTGGCTTTTCTAAATCGAAAATAAAACGTAAATAAATCTTAACCATGATGATAATGTATATAACATATTTAGTAATATCACGCTACTTTAACCACTTCCCAAAAAACGGTATAACCCGCTAAGTGTAAGAAAACGAATGTTACTCAATTAGGTTTTATTTCTTTTAGCCATTTATTTTCTTTTTCTATTCTTTTCGATGCTGTAAATTCCCTCGCTACATCTTCGTACAACCCCGATTGTATTCCTTTCATTTTTTATAGGAAATTAGCGCCTTTTGTCAGCTTCCATTTTCCTTCACTTACTTCCAGACTTCGACTACATATCGGTCTAATAAACTCGTTCAGTTATTCCTATTGTCTTCCCAAAGAAAAAGAAAACAGTTTAACTCTTATCGTCCGATTTCTTAGCCTCTGTCACGTTTAAATTATTCGAAATCCGTCAGTATAAAATCATATACTTCCCCATTACCTCCCGTTTATGTCCCGTTCAACGTAGGTTTGCCTATTTTCCATAAACACACGGAGTATATTAATTAATGATAAATATTTCAACGGTCTACCCTCTTCCTAATACATTTACCTTGACATTTCTTCCGTCCTTAATAGAAATGCTACTTGTTTATTCTGTCCGTATTGTCGTCTCCACGTTATCATTAAATCATCTTTTACCGCTACCAAAAGGTCTTCCTAAATTTAAGGCTGTTTGTAAGAAATTGTTTCGTGGCGATTGTTATTTATTTTACCAGGTATGTTGCTTTGTTAATACGGGGGTCGGCAAACCACTCGGTCGCTAATAACGTAAATGAATAAATTCTGCAGGCGCTCGATTAGCATAGCTTAACGAACACGAGGAATTTTTCACGCTGGTTATTCGTTCGACCCTCCGCTAACTTTTATTTAAGTAGAAGAATTCGTAATTTTTAAAATGTAGCCCAGCACCGAAATTTTAAGTCCCGCCCCCTCCCCTTTACACACTTTTGACTCTAGTATCAAGTATTAAGTTTCCGCCAGGCGAAGAGAAGAGGAAGGGGAGCGCCCGTCCCTTCTTAACAGTAACACGTAGATTCTACGGCTTTCGAGTTATTAACCGCGGTTCGACTTTTCCTCCAGTTAGGGTGTTAGGGTCCGGAGACCGTCATCCGCGGAGGAGGACGGAAGTAAGACAGGGCAGTAGAATAGGAGGAAGCGGAATTGCCGCCGAGAAAAAATTCCCCGCCTACGTAACGTGCCGGAAATTTCATCTGGGCGGTTGGTGTGGGAATTCTTCGTAAACCTGGGTTTTTTCTTACACGTAGAGCTACGGAACGACTTACGCGCAGAGGGGCAGGCCAGACGTAATTGAAACAAGGTCGAAGTAAAGCGTTAACTGCGATGGTAATTAAGTGGATGCAGCCTCCGGCGTATTCGCAGCGCTGTCTTAGCAACGCGCTATTTTTCTTTCTTTCTGCATTTTTTCTGTAGAAGGCCGAAAAATATCCGCCACGTCGGCTCCCGTACAATACCGTCGTCGCAATAAGAAAGAAATAACTACGCGCGGCCGAAACTCCCGTCGGAAGCGAAGTTCCGTCAACGGGAGAGATATTTCGTCTTCCGACTCCTTTCCGCCCCGCCGACCTCTTCCGTCCTCGAACTCCACCCCCGACGCTACCCTACGACCCTTCTCTAAAATGCAGTTGTCGACGTCGACGTCGAACAACGGCGGAGGACGTCCCCGGGCGGCGGAAGAATCTCTCCCGGCGGCTTCCGTCGCCGCCCACTTTCGCTTCCCAAATTTAGCTTCGCACGGAGGAGAGAGAACGACGTGCGCGGGAGCGCGGACGGCCGAACGGCGCGGGGCGGAGGGCCGCGCCCGGTCCGACGGCGTCGGCGCCCGGTCCGAAAGCGGCCGCCGTCCGAAACTCTTCCCGGAAAGCGCGCGGCTGTGCCGTCGGCGCTTCCGCCTTTCCCGCGCGCGGGCGGGGGAAAGGGCGGGCCGGCGGGGAGGGAGGCAGGTCCCGGCAGTGGGAGTGGAAGCAAAAAACACAGACTCACCGGCGCAGAGCAGCAGCAGAGACAGCAGCATCCCGGGCTCCATACTCGGTGGCGGCGCCGACCGACTCCGATTACTTTTTCGGGCGGGCGCCGCGCGCGCCGCTTCCGGTCTCTCCTCCAATGGTCGGGCGGGGCACCCTCCGCGCCGCCGGGCGGAAGAAGACGTCGACCTCGGGTCGCCACCCGCGGGCCGGAGGGGTGGGGACTTCCCGCCGATCGACGATTACGGTCCGGCGAGCGGAGGAGGAGGAGGCCTTCCGGGACGGGCCACGGAAAGCCGTAGGGTGCCGAGAGGGCGGCGAAAGAAGAAGCGCGTCGAGTGGAGTAGTACGACGGCGCTGTGTGGAGGGGAGGACAGGGACGAAATTTCGCTTCCGACTTCCTTCAGCCGCAACGTTTACGGTCGGAAGAGCGCGCGCCACCGACGACGGATGGCGACGGGGCTGGTGAGGAGAGAATACCGGGCGGCAGACGCCCGAGGAATGGACGCGCGGATAGCGACTTTTGCGGTCGAAGGGGGTTAAAGAGTTTCGTCTGTCCGTAGTCTACCGCTTTCCATACGGAAGCCGCGAGGTAAGAACGGCGGCCGAGGTACCGGAATACCGGTGCGTTATAAATATAGACCGGTTTACGGGACAGAAAAAGCCTGGATTCGTCTTACTCAAGGCCAAAAACGCCCACTTTTCACGCGCGTTGACTACCGTTAAACTCCGCGCGCGTTATCCGCACCCGCGACCAAGGGGTAGAGGCGCTCGGCCAGGGAACGGAAAGGAACCGTACTCGTCGTAACGTGGCGAGAAAAGAAAAGAGACGAGGAGATGACGCGAGGAGACGAAGCCGACGTAATCGGCCTCGTCTCCTCGCGCGCCGACGTAATCGCTGGCCACTAGCCAACGACCGACAGACGGGCGGAAAGTTCTGGGAAATAAAAACGACGATTCCTGCGGCCGGAAGAGGGAAAGGGCCCTATTCCCGCCCGGGTTGGGTCGGATAAAAATCAAAAAGCAAACGACGGAGACGGTCGGTGGGACGATTCCGGTGGCCGGACGTGCGGAGGTCGGAAGGGTCTTCCGGGGACGGCGGCCTCCGTTCGACCCATTCTTTGGGAAAAACGTCGAAGCGGCGAGAGGCAGAAGGAACCTTTGTCTTTAAACGCGGCCGCGGAAAAAGTCGGCCCGAATCGTCGATTTCGGTATCGTCTTTGGCCAAATTTTCCTAAGAAATCGTCAGAAATATCCATTTGTAACGGCGCGGGAGCCGCCGTTTTTGTGGCGGAAACGAAAGGCGGCCTCCGACGGTTTCATTTCCGTTACTAAATATACCGTCAATTTTATCCGGGTGGGAACGGCCGCGAATTCGTCCCCCGAGTGTTTCCGACGCCGCGAACTCGGGCGGCGGAGCCCAAGTAACTTCCGTCGACCTCGACCTACGTCTCCGGGTTTTCTGCCGAATTTTTGGATCGGTGCGGAGTGCGACGCCGCGCCCACCCGCGGCTCAGTCGTATTTCGGAACTTAGGACCCAATCGACGTCGATCTACGTTTACGGTTCCGTACCGATTCGGACGGGAGGCCCCTTTAACTCCGTTAATATTTTGGAAGAAAGGAAACGGGCGGAATTTTTTAATTAATAAGAATCTCTCCCGGGGAATTTATTTTCGGTTAGTAAACGCCGGTTCGATTTTATAAGGGTAGAAAGCGGTAAGAAGATTTCTCCGTACCGGGACATCCCCTGCGCTTTTCGCTCGGCCAATGTTTTACGTTAGAAATATACGCAGACCGTTTCCGTACCGACCATTTGCGGGCAAACCTCGGTTTTTCACCTAATTCGTTCTTAAAAGTTGTTGGAAAACCCGAACGAATTTCCCCGTAAGAAAATATAAAATGGACGAATCCGTTTCCGACCCCCAAAACAAACCCCCTTTTTAACCTTTTTAGCTGCATTTCGTGAATAAAAATACCTACCGAAGCGATATAATAATATATGTAACATAATGTCATCTATATATATATATATATATATAATAAATATATATATATATATATATGCATTATATATACTATATATATTAATTAAAACCCATCAACCGCTGTATTACCGTCGATTAACGTACTAACCGGAAGTAGAATCTGCGCAGTGTAAACCTAACTGGTGGGTCGACGTGGCTGACGGCCAATCTGCGCTCGTCCCTCAATTTTTTTTTAGTTCGGCCGTTTTATACTTTCCAAATAATACGTCCGACAAAAGGAATCCGGAGGCCCATTCACGCACGGGCCGCGCGGCCATCGTCCGGAAATCACGTTCGGGTGCGGAAATTACGGTACGATTGAAACGCGCGCCATCCGCCATCCGTAAATATAAACAGCTACTACGGGTAGTAATAATATATACAGTACTACATTTTCGACTATCTAAAATGGCACCTACCGGCAGTAGCGTAGCGAACATAACTGGCGCCCGGGGCACGACACTTTATTGGCGCCCCCTGCCCCATGCAAAAACAAATCTTGTTTGTCTTGGAGACCATTTGGCGCCCCTCTGCGAGTGGCGCCCGGGACACGATAGACCCCCTTGCCCCACCCTCCCTTCGCTAGTGCCTACAGGGATTGCTTTCTTATATCGATTAAACTTTCTAAGTTACCATTTTATCGCAAATAAAAAAGCACAAAAGTCCCGACTCCTTTCCGCCCCGCCGACCTCTTCCGTCCTCGAACTCCACCCCCGACGCTACCCTACGACCCTTCTCTAAAATGCAGTTGTCGACGTCGACGTCGAACAACNATTTGGCGCCCCTCTGCGAGTGGCGCCCGGGACACGATAGACCCCCTTGCCCCACCCTCCCTTCGCTAGTGCCTACAGGGATTGCTTTCTTATATCGATTAAACTTTCTAAGTTACCATTTTATCGCAAATAAAAAAGCACAAAAGTCAAGAATTTGGATAGAAAAAATACAGTATTCGAAATGATCGGAAGTTAAGAATATCGAATACTTTCGTATCCGAATTTCGATAACGCCATTCCCGATACGCAGTAGGTACTATACAGTACGTCTATTTGACATTAATATTTAAATCGGATAGAGTATTAGTGTATAAATAAAAGTTTTGGCCTTGCCGACCGCCGTAGTTGGAATGCTGTCGTTCCACGTGATCTTTATGACGTCGTCGCTAAACGGCCTTCCTATCGGTTCAATTGTTACCGTTCCGCTTTCCGCCGCGGCAAAAGTCGAAAATTTTCCACTTGTCATTCCGTCGGCCGGATATAGGAGGTCCCGGGTTATTCGAAAGCGGAATCCACTCTCGAACGGAGGTATTCTACGTTTTCCGCCAGCCGCATCCGGGCTTGACGCAAAAAGAAGCGTCCGTTCTTTCTGCAAGCATTTTTCCCACTTAAAGCGTTTCTCGGCAGTCGAAGGGCCGAAAAACGAGGCCTTTTACCGCCAGTGGGAGGAAAGAAAGGTGTTTCTCCGATACCCAAATAGGAAAAAATGTCGGTGGAACCTCGGTATCCGACGTTTGGTTCGTTTAACGGCGGAGCGCTAACCGAGTTCTTTCGTAAGTAACGCGGCGTAGTAACAGAAAAGAAGGGGCAAAGAAACGCCGGAAACACTTCGTTATTAAAGAAGAATGGCTAACAAGGAGTCGACAATAGACGGGAAGAGGACCGAAGGAAATTAACTCGTGATTTTTTATCTCCAGGTTAAGAGCTCGAACGGCGCAAAGACTTTCCTCCGGTCGGGTGGTCGCGGCCCCGACTCGCCCCTCTCCGTCGTCGAATCGCGCGAGGCCCCTCGTAGACCGACTTCCCTTTTCGTCGGCCGGGAAAAGGTAACGGTGGCCCGGGGGGCCTCCCCGGACGACGACCACGCCGTAAAGGAAAAGGAAAGAGACCAGATAAGTAGACACGAGCACCCGGGCGAAACTCTGTCCGTCCTTTATTCAAACACCTATTTCTGGCGACCGGTATCTGCGTCGACGGATTCGGCGGCGCCCACCGATACGAGTCCTTTACGCAGTTTTCTTCGACCCGTTGATATCGTAAAGTGTTTCTTCGTTAACAAAAAGCGGGTTTAAAGACTTGGCTTACGGGCATAATAAATAGAAGTGTCAGTTAACGAACCTCATCGAACCACTTAAATTCTACATCCTGCCTCCTCTCGCTGAGACGTAGAACCTAATAGTCATTTTTGTCATCCCCCATTTACTTGCCCACCTATCTCCAAATTCAAATTGAGGGACTGATATACGCATCTATACAGACGGTTAAAAAGGGCCACAGAGTGTTGGGGTATCTATGGTGGTCCTAAATAATAACAACATGGTTGAGTGTCGAGCTTACTATAAACTTCAATCATATTGAACGAACAGCCAGGCGGAAAGCCTCGCAATCTTGAAGTCCCTGGAATACGTTGATAACACTCTCAGGAAGAAGACACGCCAACCCATCACTATAATTAGTGACAGTAGGGGTGGCCCTGCTGCAAATTAAAGCACTGAATGTAAATTTAAAAATCGTTCAAGAGACTATCTATCTGCTTGCAAGCTTAACAAACAGACGGCCTGATAGCCGAGCGGTCAAGGTGGCAGCCTACCGCTCTGGATAACCCGGGTTCGAATCCGTAGAAAAATCCCCAAGATTTTTTCGGGGGATGGACTATTCGGATATGTCAGACTCCGTCCCTCACCATCCGGTCGTCCCATAATAGGCATGCTAAAAATAGGCCGTCTTAGCGTCCACAGGGCGGAGAGTTGAAAAAAAAAAAAGCTTAAGAAACAAGAGAACTAACATTACGTTTAAATGGGTCAGGGGGAAGTCGGCAACTAGAGGGACGACCTCTCTCACCAAGAAGGCCACAAAGCATCAAATAAGTACTTCTTTCGAAAGCATTCCATCCAGCTGAATAAAAAACCATAATCTTCGTCAACTATAAATGGCAGGAAAGATGGGACACGGAACCGATGGTCAGAAGCACATTCAGTTTTATCCCGGACCTGAACGCAAGAAGGAAGATGAACTTTTATGTTCCTGATTTCCACACAACCCAATTTATAACAGGACATGGGACCTTTAGAAACTATCTAAAAAAATTCCTCCAAAAAGGAAATGGACTTTGTGACACGGAGGAGGAAACACCACACCATATCCTGTTTGTGTGCAAAATACAACCGTCAGCGAAAACATCTGGCGCAGGCCATGTGTTTGGAGGGGCACCAATGGCCCTGCAGGGCCCAAGACTTTTTCTTCAACAAGAATATACCCGTAGCGCATTCTCGACTTTCAAGGCTACAGGCGGCATCCAGACATGGGCTTGTGGTTAACCACACGCGTTACCGGGAACTGCACTCCCGGTCATTTTATGTTAAGGGATAAGCAATCCCAACCTTCTCCTTTTACCTGGCCTTATAGCTAAGCGCGAAAGTTATGGGGCTCGAAAGCGGAGGAACAAAATCGCGTTCCCGCACGCGCACACACCCAGACCAGTGGCATAGCGTGCGTGTCAGCTGCCGGGGGCAAAGGAAAATTTCGCCCCTTATTTAGGTATCTCAATTTAAAAGACTAAAATTCAGTTTCGTCACAGAATAAGTAATGAAAAAGGTCAACAGGTTGCGCACGATATCCCCGAACGGCGAGTCGATTTCCGGACTGTCCGGATGGATGGTAACACTATTCCGTGCTCATTTCAATCGGTCCGAGTCGTAGGTGGACGAAAATATGAAATAAAATGGTTCAAATTCTTATAAGATACTATTATTATTTATTGTGACATTTTGCGGTCCCCTAAAATAAATTTTTATATATTGTTGGAATCAAGTAGTTGTGACGCATCCGCGTGGACATGTAGAATAAATAGACTGAAGCAAGAGAAAAGAACGTTTTCGGAAAACTCGAAATTTAATAAACTTTTATTACCGCAACAACCGTCTTCTGGTAGGATTTCATTTACCCGTATTATAGTCGAAGGACCGGAAAATTCGGGGAGGATCCGGTCGAGGTAAAGGTCGTTCTCGTTCGGCGCGGGTCAAAGGGCGGAGAGCCACCGACCGTTTCCAAAAGTCTTCGTCCTCCGCCCGTTCCGACATTTGTAAAAAAAACAAGGAAAATCTTAACACCTCGGCAGCCAAATTCCCTTTTCTCGGCCGTGCCTTCCTCCTAGCGCTTTCCGGCGGCCAGGCGGAGATCGGAATCCGTCACCCCGGGGAAAGGCTCGGAATGGGAGATTTATCCGGCGTCCAAGGAAGTACGAAGGGGGTAGACTCCGCCTCGCTTACCGCCGCCGGGATAAAGAGCGGACGGGATGGAAGAAAAGACGGCGCAGGAAGCCGTTCTGTCCGCCAGTTCCTTCGACGTTTAAAAATATACGGGCGCGAGGAGGGGAAGAGGAGGAGAAAGCCTAGAAGACGGGGATGGCGTCTCTGGGAGTGAAGATCAAGTCGTCGTCCAGCGTCAGCAGCGTCTGAAAGAAAAAGAAAAATCCTAGAGACCAGTTCCGGCTCTACCGCGGACAAAAGGCGTGCACTTTCCCGTCAGAAAAACCCACTTTGCTTATCCGGACCGAAAAGGCCCCGGAGAAATCCGCGGTAGTAAACAAATACGGAAGACGCCATTGGCATCTTCCTTCCACCCCGAAGAAAATTCTTTCTTCTTCTAAGTATGATCGGCGGAGGAAGGGACCCGCTGGGGATCCCCTCTAATCCGCAGGGAGTAGGAACCCGGGGAAGACTTCTCCTCCGCCGCCAGGCAGAAAGAGTGAAAAGACTAGACGTCGCCTTTGTTTTGATATAAATTAATTTAAACTTAGAAACCCTTTTAAATGGCGCGCCTCCGAAATACGGTGGTCGACTAAACTATACTTTTTTGATTATAACAACACACCTGAATTTTTGCCCAGTATAAAATTATTTTATTTCAAACGTTTTCGACCTATTTATTATAGGTCATCCCCAGGCTTACGATTAATAATTTTACGCTCGGCAAAAGTTCAAGTGTGTTGTTATAATCAATTGTAATTGCTGAGAGAAAGGTGGATATATTTTTTTGGCTTTTTTGAGACGAGATGGAAATTAGGTAGCCGCCTCCTCTTAAATTCCACCTTTAGTTATGTTGGTCCGATTTCCGGGTGGGAAGGATTCCTTCCCTCGCGCGTTATAAAACGTGTGGTTGAATCTAGCCAGTGGGATGTGAAAATGTCGTGCACACATTGCCATAACGACGAAAGTTGTACATTTTTACATCACTCGCAGTCTGCCGGTGATGCAAATGTATAAAAGCAAGATGGAGAAACAAGATATTTGGCAATAAAGGTGAAGAAATCTGCAAGAAAGTTGTTCCGCATACATTGAATTTGTAAACGTAATAAAATTTTCGATAATTTTATGTAAATATTGCTGATAAACCGGATATTGAAGTATATGCTATATTTATTTACTTAACTTATATTACAGTAGGCCCCCTACAACACTCTAGATAATTCCGTGTTATATGAATTCCATGTTGTACGAGTCACTTAGATTTTACAAATACGTGAGCCGTTCACGGCCTGGCACACGTATTTGTAAAATCTAAGTGACTCGTACAACATGGAATTCATATAACACGGAATTATCTAGTGTTATAGGGGGCGTCTACTGTATTGTAACACACAGTTTTACTTAATAAACATTCTTATTTTGCTTTCTTGTCCATTTCTATCGGTTAAAGATATTTTTCTCTTTTAAAGATTATTTTATCCCTTTCTATTTCTATGCCTTCAATATAGTTTCCAACGATGGAAACCACCACTCACTTATAGTTTTTTATAAAAAGAAAAAAAAAGCCAGTGAGGTGATAAAACTTTTTCTAATCTTTTTCATGCCAAAATAATAATAGTTGTATAGAATGTTGTTATCATTATACATATTCAACTTAAGTCGTATTGTATAGCAAAGATTAAGCGCTTTGTCGTCTAGGAACGTATCCCCCGCGTTAAGCGGGTCTTACTGTATATGGAATTTTTAAAACTTTCATCTATTGGTAAAAGTGCGAAACTACAACCACGGTTACTAGAGAAGAGAGCAGAATTTTCCGTCTAGAGCCACATTTTCTCACTCGAAGCGCTGCGGTTAGGATTAAGGCTAAAAGTGGGTCGAGTATACACAACAATGTTACTTCTAAAAGTAAGACCTTTTCGAATATAATTAAATTCATAAAAGGGAACTCTCGAGCTTTTTTCACCAAATTCGATTAAAATATCTTAAATTCTTGCAAAAGTAATATAAATTAATTGTATTATTAGCGAATCTATAAAAATAAAATTTTCATATAGAACGGTTTTATAATGTAACTCAAAGCTTTCATAAACTGATTTGTAAGTTATTTTTTTTTAAAACTGTAGTGTCTCCTTTTAATTTCAAGTTTCTTTTAAAGACGTTTTAATCTTATAATATAATCGAGATGGGTTAATAATAATAATAATAAGCGCGGAGCCCAAACGTTTAGGAGTTGAAAGTTGAAATTTGGTACACAGGATACTTCATGAGAATGTATACAGTAAGACGGGGTTTTTGGAAATTCCCCCTCCCCGCGGGGGAGAGGGAAAGGGTTATCCTTTTCACAGTCCCGAGAAGTAACAGCAAACTGGCTTGAGGATATAGCGTAATCTTCGTTAAAACAACGATTATAGAATACAGTATTAAAAATTTCACACAAAGTTAAAAACTGATCAAAACGCCGACCTTTTATTTCAGGCTAAGGCTCTTTAGGCTAACGGTTAATTCTTGCCAAGCCAGATCGATATTGCCCGTGGCATGCATGATGTTAAAGTTTTGTAAAATTGCACCAAACGGATTTAAGGAAAGTACAGCGTTATGACGAATTGCCACCTTCTGATTGGTTCGTGTTTGAGAAAAATCGTATTACAGTATATAAGAATCAATGAAATGCCGCGTTAATTTGAATCAGCGTTGATCGAAGAAACGCTAAACGAGGTCTTATTCTATACTGCAGTTATTACGTTGACGTTCTTTTTATTTACCGTGTTGTTGTTGGAATCAACGATTGAAGTTGTTTTCCTGATCTCCGAAAAGCAATATCCAGTCTAATATTTGTGAAAGCTTAACGAAAATAAATTATATTCCAGTGTTATTTTCAATACGAATCTTTTTTCTTGCCGTCAGTCGATAACTCTGACACGAAAACGTTGTTTTTATTGGCCAGTTGTAACCGGGCAAAGATGTTTCGATCGGTAGCTGTTACGATGTTACGTGTAACCAGCGACGAGTGACGTTTGCAATCGGAGCAGAAAGCAGCCGTCATTGGTCGGTTGCATCCAGCGATAGGTAAGGTAAACCAAAGACACTACTAAGAGTGCGTTTGGAAATTTTAACAGGTGTTACCAAAAACTGCTGGCAATTACCGGAGCGTTTAGTAAATGTAACCCGAATAATCAAAAATCACGATTATAACGTCATCGGTTGTTCTGCGGTACTTGCCGAAGTAACCTCGGTGACAAAGCAGATAAAACGGTTCTATTGAATTACAAGATGGCGGACACATTGTATCATGTGAGGAACGTGACCGTGATTTTAAAAATTTACAGAAAATAGAAAATTTGTTTGTTTGTAAAAAGAGCTGGCAGAACAAAGAAATATTATATTTTTAATTGTGTTGGGATTGTCACCTGTGGACATTTTAGACTGTTTTACATATTTGTGTGCAGAGTCCTAGCCTCTAAAGAAAGGTTTTCTCTGCAACGGAAAATAGTTGTTCCTGGTGATTGGGCATAGCAAGCAATAAAGCAATTCCATCTATAATGTAATTTTACTTTATTAAAAACATTTTGTTTTCGCGACACAAATCGATCAAGATCAGAAAGCCAATATCGACCCAAATTTCAGATGGGCAAGACAGCATGGAAAATGGCCAGCAAATGCTACGAAATTATTGATTTTACAGCAGCGGTTCCCAAAGTGTGCGCCGAGGCGCCACGAAATGTTATAAATTTTTTTATAATTTTACTTCCACTTTCTATTCAATGTGATAAGATGCTACATCTAGCAGACCTGGTGCAAATCATTAACTCAGTAATAAAGGTGGCACATAGAATCGCAAAATGTTAAAAGCCTCATAACATCGCAGAAAAATTCATTCTACCGGATGCTGTACCTATAGTGAACGTTACGATCGGCGAGTCAGCTGGAAAGCAGCTTTCAAGTGCCTTTGTCCAAAAACACCATCAGTCGCAGAATACAGCACAGCGAAGGACTTCCAATGTTCAAACAATTGAAAAAATAAATTGGAAGGAATTTGGGTTGTAGCTGGATAAGGACACAGATAATAATAATGATGTTCACTTGATTTGCTATGTACAGTACGGTTTATAGATAACAACAACAACATTGTAGAAGGCTCAATTTTGTAAAAGTATCACTGCTGGTGCTAAGGCTCACGTCTTGTTCGAGATCCTTGATATTTTTATATCCAAAAATAATTTGGAGTGGACCAAATGCATTGGTATCTATACTGATAGTGCTCGTTCTATGTCCGGGTGTTATGGAGGATTGCAAGCACTTTTTCGAAGCAAAGACTCTATTGCACTGTGGGCCCATTGCGTTATTCATAGGGTCCTACATTGAAGCAGGTCTTAAAACATGTAGTAAAATTTATATTAAAAAACAGGCCGTTGAAGAAAAGATTTTTCAAAAAATTATGTAAGGCTATGAGATCCGAGCACTCGTCTTTAATGTATTACAGCACTTCGAAAAAGTACAAAACATTACCACGAGAGAGCGTTGGTTTTCTCGAAGTAATGTTGTATTTTGTACTTAATGTTTGTGTTTTATATTTTTCTTAAAGAGGAAGACAATAAGTATGCCGAAAATTTTGGAAATGAAGATTTTTTTTGGTAAAACTAGCATACTTATGTGATATTTTTGAAAAGCCGAATGCTCTGAATCTCTCCCTGCAGGGAAGCAACATCACCTTTTAAAGTCGGTTGAGAAAATTTCAGCTTTTATAAAAAAAAAAGAATAAAACTATGAAAAAGAAAAATAAATGAAGACAGAGGAAAAGAATATATTCCCTCGTTATAATTTTTGACCTCCAACCTCCAGTAGAGTTGATTTCTCTCGAAGTATAAAATCCACGTTTGAAAATCATTATCACCCGGTTTGAGAAACATTTTCAAAATGATAATATCGATAAATTGCATGGATTCAAGATCCTTTTAATGCCAGTGTTCCATCTGAATTTACTGCTGCAGAAGAAGAGAATCTTATTGAGTTGTCTCGCGACAATACGTTGAAAACAAAATTTAGCAACATGGAATTAACTGAATTTTGGATATCAGTAAAAGATGGATATCCCTTCTAATTGGTAAAGATCAGAGAATCATAATTCCATTTTCGACTTCTTATTTGTGCGAAGCCGAGTTTGTCGCTGTGATAAAAACTAAGTATTGCACGAAAATCAATGCGAAGA